AAAAAACAAAAAACAAAAAACAAAAAACAAAAAACAAAAACAAAAACAAAAACAAAAACACCTCATAGAATGCTTGTGTATATGCACCCAAAATCCTAAGAGGAGAATGGAGAAGGGATTGTGGTATGGCCATCCACCCAGGGGGTGATTTCTGGCTCTCTGGCTCTCCAGCGATAGCAGGTGCACTATAGCAAAAAAACTCTCTCAAAAAGAGAGAGAGAGAGAGAGAGAGAGATTACAATTAAAACAGCTTCAGAAAGTAAGCTTTTAGAAATACCAGCTGAAAACAACAAACAGAAAGATGATTTGGACAGCATGGACAATTCAGGCAAGATAAAGACCATACAACACAACCTCAGATGGAGATACAAATTCGTTACTGGGCGTGTTCCAGAACTTCATTCTGGGGAGTAAAGCCAAGTGGGTAGAGGACTCAGCCTTACAGAAAGCAGCTTGAGAAGTGTCTGAACATGACGTAAAAGAATTCTATTGTGGCAGTGTTTCCTTTTGTCTTGATACTTCTTTGAAACAGCAAACTGCAAGTGAATATAGTGTAAGTTTTTTGGAACTTTCTAGTACTGTGTGTTCTCAAGCTTTACTTACCACTGTGACTTGAAATCTATTGTTTTAAATATGACAATTAAAGTAACTGACATACTAAAAAAATAGTAATACCATTGATAGAAGGGTCCTCCTAAAGAGGTCTTATTAAGCAGAAATTAATTTTAAAATATTTAAGATTGTTACTGGATCATGAGACTTGTCAAATGTGACAATTTTCTCAATCAAAAACAAGATAAACTAAAATACATTATTAAAATATTGATGATTAAAAATAGAAGTAAATAGAATTAAAGATTCTGTGGAAAATTAGAGAGGAAGAGTTAAGTTAAATAAAATAAAGCTATTGCAACCAACTAAAAACATTGAGGAAACACTTTCTGGAAAAACGCACATTAAAGAATGGACTGTAAAGTAAACCACTAGCAGACCTATCAGCAAACAACGGGAAAGCTTGAGCTCCCCCACTGGGAAAGACAAGGCCTCAGGTTCCCTGCTGTTAGGTGACCTTTTGGGGCTGGCAGGTGGTGTAGTGGTTAAGGAGCTGGACTCCCACATGGCCAACCATGGTTCGAGTCCTGGACCTGGTGACTTGCTTTCTCACTGTCTCCATCCTTCTCTTGCTCTCTCTTGTTCTGTCCCTCTCTGGTCAATTTAAAATAAATGAATAAATAAAAAAAGTTAAATGAATTTTAAAAAAAAATCCTCCCCCCCAAAAAAAAGAAACTGAAAGATTGGAAAGTATAATAGCATGGAGTGCTACTGTAGATATTACAGACAATAAGAATAGGGATAATATGAGGGTGAGTATTAAGGAAGGGAGGGAAACAGGACAAAGAAGTACATATAACTGACACAAAAATAAAAAGCTACTTGCTGATGATAATGTATATGGTAATGTCTTTGTCTTGTCTGATATGCACTGTACTCATGCTGGAAAAAGTCGTGTTGTACAATGTAAAAGGCATAGTGATTAAATGTAAATAAAAATAAAAAATAAAAATATTGGAAAACAAAAACAAAAACAGCACACAAAAAAGGGTAGTCACACAATTTCATTTCCAGACTCTGTTCAGATACCTCTGTATATATTTAACACTGAAATGCCATCATACCTCCTTGAAACTAACAGGCCATTTTATCATGTCTTCGTTGATGACCAAGCCTTGATCATGGGTGCTCCTATAGACAAAATCTCCTACTTTAGCCAACAGCAAACTGTGATTAGAAAATCTCACAAGATTGTGGATATCATAATGTATTGTTTTTCTTTTTTCATCCAGGGGCACACTATACCCAATGCTGTTTGTCTGTTGGATTTTCCTCAGAAATGGATGAAACTAGATTCAAGGCAGGATTTACAAATTAGGACTTCATTAAATGTAGAGTTGGACAGTCCATATCTATCAAGTAATCCTTCTATTTTATTATCTCAACCCTTTTTTGTAGGAGCTTAATATGAATTGGGTTGTCACCAGTTCTGTAGTCATGTGAGATGTACTCCCTTTTTTCTTTCCAAAACCAATGGAGGAATGGTTGTAGCTCATAAGAAAAATTCTAGGATGTTTCCCAAAGAGTGATTTGTACATTGACTTCCTTAAAACTCAGACTAACAAAATCTGGCTTGGACTAATTAGAGGCTAAACTTGGTCATTTATAAAGGGCATACATGG